TTGCTTCTCAGTGTTTAGGCTCTTGACAAAATTGAAAGGAAGATTCAGGGATTTTTCCTATTAATATGTAGCCTTTGCCACTGTCAACTGCCCCACCAAAAGGGCTGTTTATTATAGTTGATGAACCTACGCTAACACATCATTGTGCCCAAAACTCATAGTTCACACTGGGGTGCAGCCTGTGGATCTGAGTAAATATATAGTGCCACGTATCTGGCAGGGGAGCATCATCTGACATAGTCTCACTGCCCTAAACATCCTCTGCACTCCCTCTACTTACCCTTCTCAGGCCTCTGATCTGTGAATTGTCTCCAAAGCTTTGCCTTTTCTAAAATGCCATATATTTAGAATTACAGGATATGTAGCCTTTCCAGTTTGACTCCTTTTACTTAACATACATTTGCTTTTTAAAAAACATTCTATTTATTATTTTTATTTTATATGTATGAATGTATTCCCTGCATGTAAGTATATGCACCTATGTCATGCAATGCCCATGGAGGTCAGGAGAGGACATCTGATCCCCAGGACCTGGAGTTATGGACGATTTTCAGCTGCCATGGGGATGATGGAACGCAAACCCAGATCTTCTACAAGAGCAGAAGTGTTATTAATCATTGAGCCATCTTTCCAACCCCTACATTTGCTTTTTTACATGACAGATGACAACCCATCTCTTTTTACTGCTGAATATTGTTACATTGTCTTTATTGCTTCAGCTTATTTATCCATTTATCTCTCTTGGTTTCTTCCAAGTTTTAGTCATTGTGAGTAAAACAATAAACACCATGTGCGAATTTTTGCATGAACTTGATTTTGTATTTTTTCAAGTAAATACCAAACATCAAACATTTCAATTGCTGGGTCATGTGGGAAGAACATGCTTAGTCTTGTGAGAGACTGCCAAACTGTCTTGCAAAGTGGCTGTTCTGGTTCATTTGACAACCTTCACATCCTCTTCTCAGTGACAACTCAGCATCATTTCCCTGCAAGGTTTTTTTTTTTTTTTTAACTAAGCAGCCATTTTGGACAAAATTTTACCAGATATTACTTTGTACTAGGTTCTTTTCATATAGGTCTCTCCTTGTATGTGATCAGCTGTTGGAGGGCAACACTCAATTGTTATTTAACTTTACATCTTCAGCACCGAGGGCAGTGCATGGGCCATGCCATTGCAGTTAATCAATTAATGGCTATACATTGAACTAAACTGACTTAATTAATGAGTGGGTCTTGATACCATTACTGTGAAAAGAAAAGGACAAAGCATGAAAAACAGACTTGTACATGAACCACCTCACCCCATCACACTGCTCTCCACTGTATAGATCCACACACAATTTGGCCATGAGCAAATTCATGCTGAAACCCAGGAATGGAGTCTTTCTGTAATAATTGTGCAGTATTACCTATGAATGGGATGTCAGCTTTGATTGACTCATCTCCAGCTGAAAGGAACTTGTTCATCTACACGTGCCTGGGAATATGTCAAAGATTCTTCTGATCTCTTCAATAAACCGGCTTCTTCATGAACTCTGGCTTTGTACTCCATGGAGATTAAAGAGGCTTAATGAAAGTTAAAAATCAGCTCAGTGTTCACTTTCCTCTCTGCCAATTTAGAATGGAAGGTTGGCTTTTTCTTTATATTGTTGAGGGCATTGTATGCTAGCTCCAGCATCATTGAGCTGGGTGCATTGTAATCTAGTATAAAAGGCCTTCTTAAAAGAAATCAAGCATGCTGACAGATGCCCACTGGATCAATGCTGGAGTATTTGCATACCGGGGAGGCACAGATACAAATCTTTTAAATTGTTTCATGGAGAATGATTTCAGTTCAGGCTTAGTTTGGTCTTTCAGATTCCTACTCCCTTCATGCTTGAAAGGCACTCCATACGATGTGATGATGAGCATGATGTATCAAAGCAGAGTCTTGTTCTGTCACTTTCCACAGCCTATAGTTTACACTGATGCTCTGCTGAAGTGGTGCGAGTCCGGCAGTGAGCAGGGATGGCGAGAAAATCCTTTGAGGAGATTGCAGAGCAGATCAAAGCCTGTTAGGTGATCTTAAGAGGATGTTTTATGTGTTCTTCATTCATAGAGATGAAGGGGCTTCAGAGAACATAAAAGAAAGTCACTTGCCCCTGGGACACATCACCTGCAGCCTGAGAGGTGCACAGGTATATGTGAGTCTATTCTTTAAAGTCCCTTGAGAAAGGAGATTCCATTATCAACATTAATCAATTACAGTTCTTAATAACCTGCCCTACTATAAAGATCTCTCTTACATGGCAGCATTTTTTCATATTGCAGCTTCTGTGCAGCATTATTTCTTTTTCATGGTAAGATGAAAGAGCCCATTAATCACCGTCTTATCTCATAACAAATATATGAAGGCTTTGTCTCAGTTCGCTTCTCCAATCCAGTGCACTCATCACCCTGATGATTGTCACAGCCCTTGCCAAGCTCTGCAACCCACAAACACCAACGTTTGGAGTATGTCATTTGTGAACACTCAGAAGCAAGAACAATAGGATGGTGACAATAGGGGTGTTATAGAGGGCAGATGTTAGACTGTCATATGATGGGGATAGTGGTATGTGAGTTATGTTTGCTTTCATTAATTCTCCTTGGGGAGATGGAGGAGCCACTACAGCCTCCCCAGGCCTTTAGTCCTCAGAGATGCTGGGTGAGCTGTGGAGATTAGAGCAGGAGCCACACAAGGCAGCAGTGAAGCCCTTGCTATGAGGCTGCATACCCATGATGGCTTTACAGGATAGTCCCTCTCACCACAGTCAGGCTGGGTGACTACTTACCAGTACAGGGCCAGCTGTACAACTTACTAATAGATCTGAGAAAGCCTTCTAACCTTGATGAGCTTCAGTTTCCCCATTCATAAAGTGTGACTATTAATGTGTTGAGGTATTTTTCGCAAGAATTAAACGAGACATTACCAGCAGCATGCTTAGTATATGATAGCTATTATTTTGTATGCGTATCTGTATTTTCACTTTGAGTTTCCTAGGAGTGGAGTCACTGTATCTCTTTCCATCTGCTTTCTAGGATTTTACCAACCCAGTGACCAAGATTCCTCCTTGAATTTGATATTGAAACAGTTTTAGGGGAGCACTTTATTGTTATTATTGATGTTTTCAATGTCCTCTAAGGACATAGAAAACTTATTACTGAACTTTTAAATTATAAAAATTTTGAATATAATAACAATTATAGGTAGCTGCACATGCAAGCTGTGCTTACTTTGGATCACGCCTCCACGGATCATTCCTTCCCATACGAATCCATGTTAGAAATCACAGAGGTCTCAGAGATGCTGAGGAGGAGGGCACTTGGATTCTGGAACCCTGGATTCTAAGCCATATCTTCCCACCTTTCCACTAAGCTATGCTGTCCCAAGACACATTCAATCTTCACTTCTATGGAATAAATAACCACATTCTTTCAAATTCAATCGATAGGATAGGCAATCAATCACTGGTAAGAAAGTTAGACAAAAGACATGATTTTAGAAATACAAGGCATGGTACTTATTTCAAATCCTTCCTGGGATGGATAATAATAATGACACTGGGTTACATGTGAAAGGTTTGTTTTAATATGAGTGGAAAATTAGTAGTAGGTAGGTCCAAATTACCTCAGGGTTGGTTAGTTTGGACTAGGTTAGAGTGATTAATATTTTGCACATCAGCACACCTCTACTTACAGGTTTAACAGGCTTTATCTCAACATGATCCTGGTAGTGGGAGTGCACGTCTAGTCCACCTATGAAATCAACTGAAATACAGCACCCAAGTTGAATCAGCATATAAATGAAAATGCATCATCACTGATTTTTAAAGGAGACTATATATGCATAAGACTAACAGAAATATCTGTTTACTGCAAAGTAGAAAGCATGCATGTTTAATACAAAGGATTACTGAAAATATTGTATGGAAATTTTTAGAAGACATAATTAACCCCAGCTCTTAGGATCTGAAGAATCATGGTTGCTATTGATTTCAGTGAAAAAATGTGGTCATCTGAAATGGTATGAGACTTTTAAAAATATGTTTGTCTCCATACATCTCCAAAAATATACTTTCTCTTTCTGTTGCTAAGATGGGAACTGTGACTGAGAGATGATAAGTTAGCCTAGAAGTTCTACTGAATTCTTGTCTAGATGTAGCCATTTTGGCCAACCCCTGATCTACTCCATTCTTTTACTTTTCTGAGCAGTAGAAGTAACCCTGGGACACTTTATCTTCACCAGCTTAACAAATAGCTCTGAGTCTGTGGCTCCCAGCAGGAGGTGGCAAAGAGCACCTCCAGGGCAGAGGAGCCTGACCCTCTCCTTTCTTCCGCAGGTCCCACAAGTTCCCCGGACACCACCTGAAGAAGACGCAATGGGAAACAACAATCTGAGACCCTGAAAATATTTCTCCTTAAAGAATGAGAAATGCCTTTAAAATTTTATTTTAATGTAATTTTATTTTTTGTGACAGAGTCTCCTTGTTGCCCCAGCTAAACTTGGTATGTAGATCAGGCTGGCCTTGAGCTCACAAAGATCCACCTGTCTCTGCCTCCTCCAGAGTGCTGGGATTCAAGGTATGCACTACCACCCCCAACATTTTTTAATTCTTTAACATTTATTTCAGTGTGTGTGTGTGTGTGTGTGTGTGTGTGGGTGTGTGTGTACATACAAATGCCATAGTTTACTTGTGGAGGTCAGAGGATAACTTGCAGGAGTCAGTTCATTCCTTCCACCACTTATGTCCCAGGGATTGAACACAGGTCATCAGGCTTGGAGGCAAGTATGTTTACCTGCAGAGCCATCTCCCTGGCCCAGAGTTAGCTTATTTGAAAGCAATACCTTAAATGAATCTGGAAGTCATCATGTCTTTAATTATGGAAATAATCTCCCTGTTGGTCTTGGAAATGCCAAGCAAATTGGTTAAACAGAAGAAATGTGTAACTTATTTTAGCCCAGATATTTTCCTAGGAACTGCCAATTTGCCTTCTTGTATCTTCTACTATCAAGCTTATTATATTTTTCTTTGTCAATTTTATAAGACAAAAACCATAAATTTAATATAGTGATGCAAAATTTTAGTTCTCCTCTAGCCAATTTTTGTTCATTCTGGTAAAAATGTAGACTTGGATCAACTAAAAACAGGATCTCTATCACAAGTCTCTTCTCAAGGCAAAAATAATTTAAAGGGATATTATAGAAATGGGAAAATCCAATCTTGTGTAACACTTGAACCCTTATTTAATTTGTTCTCTTTCCCTTTTTTGAGGACAAAGATTAATGTTTTTCTT